TTCTGGTTAAATGTTTATGTCTTCCTTCTGGTCCAAACCGTTGATTTCAGTCTTGGTTTCCTTCCTGTCACTGTTAATTCCCTGTACATTGTCCTTTATTTCACTTTGCATGGCCTTCACTTTTTCCACTATTTTGCAACTATACTCAACCATTTATGTGAGCATCCTGATTACCAGTGTTTTGAACTCTGCATCTGATAGGTTGGCTATCTCGACATCCCTTTGTTGTTGGTTTTTTTTTTTGAGCTTTGATCTGTTCTTTCATTTGGGCCTTTTTTGGGTCTTGGCACACCTGTTATGTAGTAAGGGGTAGAAACTTAGGTATTGGCCAGGGAGGGGCAACCCACGTCACTGCATTGTGACAAAGTATGTGAGGCAGGGGTCTGAGAGGGCACAGTGCCACTTGCTCTGCTCTTGTCCGACTTTCAGTCACTCCCCCTGCTACCCACAAGCAAACTGTGCCCTTCTGGTGCTGATTCCAGGTAGGTGGTTGTATGTATGTTCTAGGACCCTGTGGGTCTCTCCAACAAACTCTCCTGTGAGGCTGGGAATTTCTCCTGTTGCCACCACAACCCCCACAGGTGTTTTCACTCAGAGGTTTTGAGGCTTTATTTCCCCACAGTGGATCCCTGGGTTTCGTGGTCTGTCTCCCCAGTTTTTCCTCCTGGTTTATCCGCATGTGAATGTGGGACCGCCTGCTCCACCAGCCACCACCTTTTCTGGTCCACCAGCTGCCGCCTTGTCTCAAGTTCTCTCCACCCAGCTGCCCAGCTCCACCCCTCCTACTGGTCCGGATGAATGTGTCTTCTTTAACTCCTAGGTTGTCGGACTTCTATACAGTTCAATTTTCTATTGGTTCTGGTTGTTTTTTGTTTTTAAATGTGTTGTTGTCTTTATTTTGGTTGTGCAAGGAGGCACAGTATATCTACCTATGCCTCCACCTTGGCTGGACGTCCCTCTTTACTCTTATTTTTACTGGAGAGAAACGGAACTGTTGTCATGCACATGGTCCAATCCAGTGCTGATGGGAACTGAGTTAAGAAAGTGTCTGTCTTAAGAAAGTGGGAACCAAGCTTCCACGTGTGTTTTGTTTGGCCAGCACAGTGTGGGAGGAAGGGGGAAGAAAAAGGGAAGAGAAGGAAGGAAAGAGGAAGGAAGCAACAGAGACATTGGATTGTTTTTGGAAAAAGTATCATCTGCCAAGCTCTGCCATAAGCCTCACCATTCCCTCATGTCTTCCACTGACTCCATCACACAGTCTGTCATCTGTCTGGCTCCTAAAGGCAGTAATTTTCAAATCTAGTTCCAATTTTATTTTATAGATGAAGACGAAGCATCCAAGAACGGTTGATTAACTAGCCTAGGGTAACAGATGGGTATCAGGAAAGCAACTGTGAGAGATATTGAGCCGGCTCCTAGGGCCACGTTCTCCTCCTCTGACTTCATCGTACTCTTCCACGAATTCAATCCAGAGCTTGAAACACCAAGATGGTGCCATAAAAAGGGGGAGCAAGCATATGTAATGTGCATAGAAAGTAAATGACATATTCCTATCCCTATGCAGATCTGTCTCATATTTCTTTATGTGCACCCGACCAGAGGATGCCAGGAGCCGGGTAAATAGATGGGTCATGTACACAGGTGTTGATGAAACGTGCCCTTACCTAACACCATAGCAACAGACTAGACATGATTCCGTTACTGAGGTCGGGACACTGCATTTCTAGCAAGTTCTTGCCTTCTTTCTAATATCACACCCCTACATTCAAGTGTACTTAAAACAGCCTGGATTGCCCATGATGCTGCTTTTTCTTACCCTTTCTTAGCCACAGACTATTTTATACTTCATGGCCTTCCACAATGTGTGGAATCTAAATGAGAAGAGAGGCATTTGCCCTTCTCCCCAGGTACCAATATAGTTCTCAGCCATTCTGTGGGTCTTGAATAACAGTTGTCTAGAGGGTGAAGGAACCCTAAGCACACTGCCCCGAGGCCTCCCAAGGCAGTTTCAGTTCTATAGTAAAATCAGTGACTCCCAGGATACCTGGGTTATGCCCACTTTTTTTTTTTACTACACTTCACATCATTTCATATCATTTCCAGTGTAGGGATATCACAGCTTTGTGGGGCGGTGAAGTCTTCCAGTTTATTTTCCCCAGAACACTTGCTCTGAAGGAATGTCATTAAACCTTTCCAATTCCTTGCACTGGGGGCACAGACAAACAACACAGAGATATCCTTAGAGGGGAAAAACGATGACTAAACTTGAAAGGGTGAGGGATGGGATGAGAAGTAAGGGTGCTGTCTACATATGGATTCCCTATTTCCAGGGCTGCTCCAGGATCCTCAGAGCTAAGGGAGCAAGACTTCCGCTCAAGGTTTAAAAGCAAGAACTCTGACCATGCTCTTTGCATCAGAACTTCAAATTCTTCATTTACTATAATAATGCCAAAATGATATTTAAAGCATATAAATGAGGAAAATATGGGGGAGTAGCATGGAAAACTGGAAAGCATTTTGCATTTTTATGTGGCTACTTTCTGCTTGAATAAAAAGCAGGTAATATTAGTAATGATTACATGTACAGTTATTTAGAAACCAGAGGACTAACCTGTGAGGAAAAGCCAAGAATTCTTATTAGCTTTTTCTCTGATCCTAAATCAGGTAAGACATTTTGGGGAAGTAATGGCAGATACACAAAACCAAATAAACCAACAGAACAAACACGAATCAATTCAAAAGACCTTAAATTATGTTTTAGCTGATTGTATAGTGTAACAATTCTCAGGTTATTAAGCACAAACACTCAAAATCATGAAGTTCCCCATGTACAATAATGCCACCATATTTTGTTTATTCAGAAATACAAATTTTGACTTTAGGGGAATTATCCTGTTTGTAAGTGGTAATTTATATGTATGACATGAAGAACCTCTGATTATGCACTACTTCAAAATTGTGTTGTTTCCTTCCATGAGGTGTTAAATAAACTAAGTAAACATGAAAATAAAAATGCTACTAAATAAGTAATCAAATAAGTCCTGAAAACCCATAAAAAATCAGGTTCCATTCTTGATTCGTTATTAAAGCAATCACTAAAATTTTTTAAAGTTAACTTGTTTCTTTGCTTTTGGTCTGCTTTTGATTATGTCTTCAGCATCTCATATTGTTAGCACACTGAAATTAAAATGGATTTTAAAATGCATTAGCTTTGAATGAAAACTCTTCACATTATGATCAATAAAAGCAGCAACGTGGGTATTAAACGTAGCACTAAAACATTAGTTTGAAATTAACCACTGCATCAAAATGCCTAATATTAAATGGCCTCTCATACTTACATAAAAATTCAAAACAAGGTCAAAGAAGAAAAAATATTAGGAGACACAATGCAAAACAATTTTTAGCCAACCTCAAAAATGAAACAGAATCACTCATAGAATCACTGTGCACAGTGTTTTTCTTGGTTTCAAATGGAAAGCTAGAAGTGGTTATTTCTGTATCTTACAGTTCCTGAAACATCAGCAGGGTGATGAAGGTATTCACTAAGACCAATAATTTTACTCTTGCTGTTTGAATACTGAATGTTGGCACTTTCCCTAACACTGCTGACAGATGGGAACAATAAATAACAACTCTTACAAAGTCGAGAGTCACTTGAAAATAAACTTTCCAATCTCCTTGAAAAATCTTCACTTTGGTGCAAGTACCAATTATAAATAGCAGCTAACATTTAATGAATGCTTCTCATGTGCTGAAAACTGATCTTTACCCTTAATCTCTACCAGAGCGATCTGTAATTATTTTGTTTGTTGTCTTTCTTCCCCACTAATCCAGAGGCCCCGAGGGGACAGGGACTTTGTCGTTCCTCATTGTATCCCCAGCACCTAGTATTCCTAACACACAGGCACTCAATTAACATATGGGTCAGCATTCTGTTAATTGCTGACAGTAATTTTTTAATGTAATTTTATGCCTTAAGTAATTTTTTTAATGGCTGGTCATGGTAGAGGGTTAAGGAAGTGCAACAAAAAGTAAAATAGAGTATTAAATCTAGTAGAATAAATATTCTTTAATGAAGCTTTTCTTTTAGTTTATACATGTATATATATATATGCTCCATATAAAATGTACTTCTGATGAGTAACAGAAAGCCTGAAAATTATTGCTTTACAAGAATTATTTCATTTGCTCCTCACAATAACCCTGTATACGACACCATAACTTCCACTTTAAAAGAACGGAACTGAGGTTTCTAGATGTTATGTTTGATGTCCAAGATGACAGAGTTATCTTCAAGTATGGACTTCATTTCTATACATAATCACTCATAGAGTACTCTATGAAGAAAATCTGAATTAACTAAATAAGGTTTTAGTCAAAGTAATTGTGACATGATTAATAAATACATAGGCTTTTATGAAAAACAGGTCGGACTGAATTTAATATTTGACTGTGCCTGTGTGGGAATAATGTCTTTACACCTCCATTCCCCCATGTGTAAAATAGGAATATTCATAAGGTTGTTTGAAGTTTTAAATGATTTAATGTATGTAAATAGCCTAGACCACTAAATATAACTTTAAGTAATTATTGGTGCTGTTTTTCCCCTGGTCCAAGAAGTCCCATCCAATCCACTACACTATAATTTGAATGTGTAAAAAGCATGAATCAGAAACTTACTGAACTAGACAGCGAAGTATGAGAACTGTGCAAAAGTGGCAAAGAGCCATCCAAGAGTTTCTGCAGTTGCAGTATGAGAAAGACATCTATGTCAAGATCAAAGAGTTGGTCCAGGTAACCAAGGGAATCAGTGGAGACACCACTGGTTAATAATAAAAACAAACAAGACTATTCTATCCTTCATCAAAAACATCCATCTTCTTCCTCCGCATCCCGGCTGGGGCCGATCCAAAGCATTAGGAAAGGTACCATGCCATCTCCCACCCACTAGACCCTGGTACCAAGGGGCTATGGCACAGGGGGTTGGAACAACTCACCCCGGAGACTCCGTTGGTATTGCCCCAGAATCTCCTCCAGGGTAGAGTTCTCCGGGGACTTCGCCATGCACACACTTGAGACCTAGAGATGGGAGTTAGGTGATACAGTGTCCAGTGGTCTACCCTCCTAGAACGGGAGGCCTTAGCGCCCTGGCAGAACCCGGCAGCTTCCTGCTGCTGCTGTCAATGGGAAGCCAGGAACCCAGGACCGCGCTCGTTGCAGCTTGTCCCACCCACGGGCCCTCCTGGTGGATGACGGGACTTGTGGTTCACAGACTCGGATTTGCAGCCTTGACGTTCCTGAGAGCCCTTCCAATTACACTACAATTCCCAGAGAGCACCGCGCTCCGAGCGTAGGCTTCAGCCGTTTGGTTGCCAGATCAGGTTGCCAAGAAACTGCTTGGAGGCTCCGCCCTTTTCCTAGTTTAATGCTGCCTTCAACCCATCCTGGTGTTTGGACCACCCAACTGACAGAAAGAGCTCATTGAAGGCCTTGACCCTTCCAAATCTGCTAGTAAGCATTCGATACTTGAAGCTTGTCAAGGACACAAGTAAGCTCAACACTCTACAGCCACGGCATTTGTCAAAACGGCCAAATAAGCAAGAAAAAGTTCTAAATCTTCCAAAGAGCCTAGATTGTGAGACGATTGACACTACAAATCCTAGCATGCCCAGCAACCCGACCTCCACTTGGATTTGGCGCACTGCCCGCTGGGAATTGTAGTCCTTGTCAGTTGCGGTCCAGGCTACTCGTAGGGTCCTCTTTATTGTTCCAGTCGGTCTTTGAGGCACGCCTGCGCAGTAGGCAGCTGGAAAGCCTAGGGTTGAGACCCTCTGCACAACCCCTTTTCATTGTCTGCTTTTGGCGCCTGCGCAGTAAGAGATCGTTGGATCTGAGCTGGAGATAGGGATAGGGCCGGGCTCCTCGCCCTTTCCCCAAGCGCCTGCGCACTAGGCGGCCGCTCTTTGCCGTTACCGCTAGGTGTGGGGCGTGTGTGGAATAACGTATTGCCCAGCGGAGCTGAGAGGCCGGGAGCTCGATCACAGCGACAGCGGCGACGACGAAGACGACAACGACAGGGTGGGGGAGGACGGCGTGCCAGAGACTCACGGGACGCGACGCGCCCCGCCTTTCCCGTCCGGTCCCTCTCTCAGCGGTGAGGGGTAAGTGATGCGCTCAATCGCTGGGTGTAGGCGCCGCCGCCGCAGCAGCCGCTGTGCCACATCCTCTTCCCTGGGACCGCAGCCGGGGCTGCGGCCGCGGCCCGCGGCGGGGCGGGGGTGCGGGGCCCGGAGGCGAGGGGGCGCTTCCCGGATGCTCCGCGCGGCGCCGCCACCCCCACGCACCCGATCGGGCGCTTGGCTGGGCGGCCCCTCCGGGCCGACCTGCCCGCCCTGCCCGCCCTCCGGTGTCCGCGCCGCCGCCTGGTTCCCGGAACGTGGTGGATGGTTTCGGCTCTCTCCGGGCTTTGTGCAGCCCTCCCCCTCCGCCGCGGCCGCCGGGGGGCGCGGGCGGAGCCTCGCAGGGAATGGCTGCGCGGCCGCCCGGACGCGGTTTTCCCCGGATCGGACCGGCCCGCAGTCCCGACCCCTCTTTGTGGTTGCTCCTGCGATGCGGGGCGGCGGGCGCGAGGTCCGGCGCAGAGCCTGGTGGACACGCGTGGAGGGCGTGGGGGACGAGGTGTCACGCACCCTGCACCCTGCACCCTGCCGGGCGACTGCACCCCGCAGGCTCCGGCTCCGTGGTCAGCCCCGGGGAGGAGAGAGCGGCTTCCTGTCGGCTTCATTGTCCCGCGATTCGGACCAGGGGTTTTGGATAGCTGCCTTCATTACCCAGGGGGAGGAATCTTAGCAGTTGACGGGAGGCTGGGCGGGAAGACGTGGGGTTTGGATGCTAAGTCAGAGAATCTCTGTTTCCTTGGTGTTCGGTGGAGTTTCCTTTATTAAACGGAAGAATGTACGCTCGGGCAGGACAGGGGCAGTTCTGTGCGAGCACTGCCGAGGGGGTCAATGAAGAATGACTACTAGCTGGCGATGCAGCCCGGGCTGGGAGGGCCGAGGACGGAGCTATTGTGTCGCTGGGAGATGAAGCCGCAGAATTGTTTTTCCATTGGGTGGGGAACGCATTCACGTTCCCAAGTGAATAGATTAGGATAAGTCTTGCCTTTTTTTTTTTTTAAAGCAAACAAAGCAAACAAAAAAAAATAGGCCTGGTGTATTTCTACTTACGAATTTCTTTATTCATATTTTTACTCTTTATGAAAATTCACTCCCATTTAAGAGAAATGTGTTGCAGCAGAACCTACAATGAAAATGTATCTTTTAAAATGATTTGATCGTTCAGCTTGCGATGCTTCCAACCGTGTGCTGGCGTTAGAGCCAGCGCAAGAGAATGAAGCGGGACGGGGAGGAGCAAGTGGGGGAATGACGTGAGAGGAGAGTTGTGTGGTGGGTACAGGGTCTAGAACTTCGCTGCTGAAATCCTGCCTAAGGACGCTTCCAAGATTTAGGAATTCAGCCCTGGAGATATTACACTGCAAGTTACAAACCATCTTGTATTTTTCTCCCATTATTATTTTTTTTTAAGTTACACTAGGGCTGCTTGTACTTCCTACGAACTTTGTAGATGTTGCTTAATTTTCCTGTTTTAAAACTGAAAAGTTCAAGTGCACTTGACAGAGGAAGGCACTAAAATTTGGAAAGTTAACTGATTTGTCTACCATACCAAACTGCTAATGAAAGGCAGAGCCACCTAAAACCCAGGTCTGTGCTGCAGGGGCTCTGTCCCCTGTGTCCCTTACTTCGTCCCCTACCCTGTGAACATGGAGGGAAAGCTTCTCTACAGTCTGAGTGGTCTGTGACAGTCAAGTTCATTGGTGCCCTGGTTGTATTACTCTGATCCTTTGTAATGTAAAAATAATAATTCTACTGTAGTGGAGCTTTAGTTTTATAAATTAACTTAGTGATGTAGGGAAAGATACTACAACATGGGCATTTCATAAAAACAGGAATTTGGAATTTTTCCCCCCACTATTCAATAGTGTCTGTATTTTAATATTTTATGATATATAGTAGTATTTTATGCTATGATCAAGTCTAAAAACTGTTAAAAATAAAATTGCCAAATAACAAGGACCTGTGAAGTCTATTCAGTTAATGAATTATTGTAAACTAAAACTTTACCTTTTCATGAAAAAATTTGTGTTGAACTTCTTATCAGAAGTAACTTGTGCTTTGTATTGAGTTGATATTGCCATAAAGTGTTTTTGGTCACCTTATAATTTTTTTCTTAAATTCTACATTGCACTTAATAGACTTTTCAAAGTAATGTTTCTTTTGAATTTAAACTTACTCGAAAATAATCTGTAACTATATTCAGTATGTGGAATTATATTAAATCACCCTTGAAATGTATTTCACTGGTAAATTTCATGGTGTTGTAAAATTACTTCGTATGGAAATAAATAACCATCTGCATGTTATTTATCTTAGTATTAGAATAATGAAATTTACACTATAGAATTATTATACATTATTCCTATTAATGCAAATATCAGGGTGCTTTTAAAAAGTCTGTGCTTAGTGATTTAGTTTATTTGTTCCAAGTATGAGTTTTCTGGTTTTATCACTGGAAAAAAAGAAAAACAAAAAAACACTTGTTTTATTATTGCATCACATAGTAATCAGATGTCACTCATCTAGTCCTGGATATGTTTAAAGTTGTCACCATGGTTTTTATTCAACAAAATCTATTCCTGAACAATAATTTTTGCTGTTTTAATTAGTGGGTAATGTTTTTGTCCATAAGGAACACCAGCAGTGTTAAGCTATCCTATTAAATACCCTACAGACAGCATGATACTAAATTGCCAGCTAAAGTAACCATTTAGTTGCAAATTATGTTGTAAGTGTAACAAAAGAGTAATTACATACTATCTGAAAAACCCTCCCTGGGTAAATACTGATGACTGGAGCAGTGAATGCTGATGTGTTTCAGTAAGAAATGGGTTTCCTCTTCTAGAGAGAACTCTCAGACTATTTTTATTTCACAAACTTTTGTTAATGGTCAAGATTTCTAATAATCGACTAGAGTTGGTGGAATGGTTTTTAATTTATTTACTCGTGTATTTCTTGAAGGAGGTGCTCAGCTACAAGTTAACCTGTGTGAGCAATACAAAGGAATAAGAAAACATTCCTGGTGGTAAGGTTGATTAAACTGGATAGGTAGTCTAGTTCATTGAAGTGATTGTCCAACAGTAGATTATAAAATTGTGTGGGGGCAAAATGAATAATATGGCCAATGTGTACTGAAGGTAAAGCCCACTTTTATGTCAAACAAAAACAGGGACTAACCAAAATAAGGTTAAAGAAAACTTTGAAGAAATCACTAACATGCAAATAGGGATTGTACAAGAGCATAGAAGTGGAAAGAATACCAAGGATGCGTTAAGTTTGAAAAACCAAAAATGAGCTGTAGCAAAGAAGTCGTTATTTGAGTGTAACAATAATCAGTAACTGGTATAGGAAATGTTCTCCTTTGGTACATGATGTTTATTAAATAAATGAATAATGTCTACCATGTATTAAGCAACTATTAAGTGCCAGGTGGGGGCGGAGGGAGAGAGAGAGAGACAGAGAGAGAGAGAGAGAGTGTGTGTGTGTGTGTGTGTGTGTGTGTGTGAGAGAGAGAGAGAGAGAGAGAGAGAGAGAGAGAGAGAGAGAGAGAGAGATCCAGGCAACAGTCCGGTAAATAAGATACTATTTTCTACATTTGAAGTTGAGAATAGTTGGGGCCCAGAGTTAGGGAATAATTCTGGCTCACATATTTATTACTAAGTGGAAGAGCCCATTATGGAACCCTCATCTTTTTGATGGAAGCAAAAATTCTTTCCGCTCATCTTTTTTAGTAGGTTCAAAAGACAACATTCATTCCCTCGGGTTCACAAAATTTTAGAATCAGAGGAGACTTCAGAAGTTCTGTCATACTTATTACTAACATCCTTGAGATGTTACTGAATCCAGCTTCTCCATAAACAACACGTGCGTGAGGAAAATGGGCGTAGGTCGGCTCACTTGGCGTTTGGAAAGTGCATCTGCTCTGGTATAGGTCGGCGTCGTGGGACTTCCCACTGGGCGCAGCTCTGTCTTTAAGAGTGAGACACGGTAAGGTTTTCCTCGGCATACCGGGTCCTTGCTAGGTTTTCTCTTTTCTAACTTGAATATTACAACCCCGAAAACTCCATACGGTACAGCTTCCTTTACCTTTCTCACCTCTGGCAACTAGATTCTGCCCGTTTTGCCAGGGCTGTTTTCTTCTGGTTCCCACGTTTCATTCTCCGGTTATGGCCTGAATGTGGTGTAGGGAGGTTACTCCTTTTTAAAGCAGTGCACGTGTGTTTACAGTCTAAGATTGAGTTAACTTGTGAAAAACACGAAAAAGAGAGAAAAACGTTAGCTTTTCATGTTATATACATGCAACTTAAGGGTTTATTTTTTTTGAAATTCTGTGTTTCTACTTCTCTGATGTTAAAATGACCTTTCTACATCAAATGATTGTGTGTGTGGTTAGTTTCTTTGGATATTTGTGTTGGATTTTTTGCTTTGTTTTAGTGTTCTTAAATAAACAATAAAAAGCTAGCAGCCTTATGTTGTTTCTCTTTGGGTTTTTTTTTTTTTTTTAATTTGTCTGGAAACCACTGATAGAATCAACATAAACCAACATCTTTTTTGGGTTAAGATTTCTCCCATTCTTTATGTATACGTACATGGTGTTTCTGAAGCAGTATTTGTCTTTAACTCTTGAACAACCACCTCTTTGAATATAGCCATAGTTAAAACTTGTTGAGATCTTCCTGAATCATGGTTCTGTCATCCGAGGGATTAGTTTCCCTTCCTGGCTTTTGGACATTTATAAATTTAACACGCCAGTCCTCTTATGTCTTTATCCTGGCCGTGTACTGGATATAGCTCAGGACAGAGCCATGCAGATTTATAAATAGAGTAAGTGTTACATAAAGAAAACACGCTGGAGGTAAAAGATGACACAAAGATACTGAAAACCCTTCGAATGTGTTTGTTTATTTGTTTTAAAATAAGATAACCATTCTGTGCTCTCTATGTATTTATCTTTCAAGTGAATTTTTTTTAATTGAAACAAACGGTAT